AATATGTAGATAAAGACGAGCAGCAGCATCTCGCACCCCAGCTAACCCTTTATATGCTGCTTCTGTTGCATGCACACAGCTGCAGCAGCAGCAGCAGCAGCAGCAGCAGCAGCAGCAGAAGCAGCAGCAGCAGCAGCAGAAGCAGCAGCAGAAAGAACAAAAACAAATGTAGATAAAGACGAGCAGCAGCATCTCGCACCCCAGCTAGCAATTTATATGCTGCTTCTGTTGCATGCACGCAGCTGCAGCAGCAGCAGCAGCAGCAGCAGCAGCAAAACGGGCAATGCAGCAGCAGCAGCAATAGACGCAGGAGCAACAGCACAGCGGCAGAAGCAGGATGTGCAGAAGCAGCAGCAGCAGCAGCAGTAGCAGCAGTAGCAGCAGCAGCAGCAGTAGCAGCAGCAGCAGCAGCAGTAGCAGCAGCAGCAGCAGCAACAGAAACAGGGTGTGCAGCAGCAGCAGAAGAAGCAGGAAAGGCAGCAGAAGGAGTAAGAGAAACAAATGAATAGACAAACAAAGACAAATAAAAATAAATACGAATAAAAACAAAAATAAACAAATAGATAAATATAAATAAAGAGATAAATATAAATAAAAACATAAATATAAAAAAAATAATAAAAAAAAATAAAACGAAGAAAAACAATAAAAGAAAAGTAAACAAGCACCCCTAAACCCTAAACCCTAAACCCCTAAACCCCTAAACCCTAAACCCTAAACCCTAAACCCTAAACCCTAAACCCTAAACCCTAGAAGTGTTTTATACCGCTGGAGAACGTCGATGGCTTCATCTGTCCGCCCCACCGCAACAAAACATTTTGCTAGCTTCACTGACAGCTGCACACAAACCCTAAACCCTAAACCCTAAACCCTAAACCCTAAACCCTAAACCCTAAACCCTAAACCCTAAAAACTGAAAACTGAAAACTGAAGAAATAAGACAAAAGAAAGAAGCAAGACAGACAAAGAAAAGACAAAAAAATAAATTAAAAAACAAAAATAAAAAAAAGACAAAAGACAAGAGGGAGAAGAAAGAAAGAAGAAAGAAATAAAAAATAAATAAAAAAAGGAGACAAAAGACAAAAAAAAAGAAAAAAAGATAACCTAAAAAAAAAAAAAAGAAAAAAATAAAAAAAGACAGAGGACAAGCAAGAAAAAAAAATAAAAAAAAAAAAAAAAAAAAAAAAAAAAAAAAAAAAAAAAAAAAAAAAAAAAAAAAAAA